TGATTTTATCATGTTATTGCAAACAGGGTAAACTTTACCTTCAAGTTACCTTTCATAAGTCACATAAATTAGTACTCTCATAAGTCAATCTTTGCAAACTTTGCTGCTCTCACGGGCTATTGTCCATCAAGTTGTGATACGCCGATACATCTATTCGACGTCTTTTGTTTCTGCGCGACGGATGCGCGTCCGTGTCCACCAGCGATGGGATTCAGGTGTGCAGGAAACGATGGTTTCAGTTCGTTTGCTTCGCGACTTAACCCAAAAAACATTTCGAACTATATCACCGGACGCAAGTGTAAACGTCTTTGTACATGTCACTAGTCGGTGTAATGTTTCAGATAGAGAACTATTTTATTAAGAAAAAATATGTAGCTCAATTCTTATAAAGAATAAAATAAATCAACTTTTATGACGTACAAATAACTTTATACACGATTTTTTATAGTCCTTTGCCAAAAACAATTTTTCATTATTAATATCATAGATATAGATAGACTAAAAAATCGGAGAACCAATTTTTGAAGTAGTCTAATTTTGAATAAAAGATGGTAGCATTTTGCTCAAAATGGATCAAGATTTATTGAACACTATTGTGACACTGAAAAGATTCAAAACTATTTGATATATTTTATATTACAAATATGTAAAATAATACCATATCAGGTAGAGTGGGGCTGAAAGTTCCGCGATATCTTTAAAACAAGTAAAGTTAAGAATTTTTTTCAGATACCAGAACAAGGTACAGTGTACAAAATGTTGCCATAAAATTTATATTTTGCATTGGTTGAATAATGCAGCTATTTTTTCGTAAAATAAAAGTTAGTGGGCCTGTTTGCCTGACCGTCCAATTTTAACCTATGGAGGTTATAAAAAGGACCAAGCGATAAATGTTTTGAAAAACAGCAAAAAACACATTTCGAATTAGCTAGGAGTTTTACTGAATATAGTCAGATAGTCGTTTGTTTGATATGCGTTATTTGTTATGATATAATAGGTTTGATTTTTACAATATATTTTCCCTACAACGCTAAAACACACGAAACAATATCATACTAATTTTCTGTTTTTTTTTAAGCACACGTATTTAATTATTGAAAGATTTCATCAAAAATTGTGTTCGGACTTTTCTATTATTGAAGTTCAATTTGCAAAAAAAATGAATGTGTTGTTTAGTTGATTACTGAATTTCGTGCTATTTTCGTACAAGATTATTTGCCATTGGTTAACCCTCTCACTACTATCGTCGCCTATAGACGACGTCCGCATGACAACCTGTGTGAAGGAGGGTGTCGACTCTTGGTTCAAGATTTATCACTCTGAGTTAAATTTTTGAGAATTTTATTTTGTTCTTGTGGTTTTTAGTTTTTTTTAGAGGTGTCATTTTTAATTTTCAATTACATTTTTATTATAATGAGTAAAAAATCTTGAGATATTTAGTGTAACAAATGCTTGAGCTGGTAACTGGCTTGAAAAATATCGCCGTAGCAAAAAGACAATTTTATAAAAGTAAATTTCACAAATAATACCCCACCATTTAGATTTTTCTAATAAATATCATATCTATTTTCTATAATATACACCATAAATCGTTATTATACTTCAATAGCCTATTTAATTTTATCATCATTTCTTCGTATATTACAGTACGAATCATCAATAATAAAATGTTATTAATCTTATCTTGAATCCAAGGATAATCGATTCGTCACATTTTTTTTACTTGACATGTGTGTTGATAAAATTAAATCAACTCTCAACCGTTAAACATAGTTTTTGTTTGACATAAAAGCGGTTTGTCATGCGGCTTTCAACGACGTAAAACAGGAAGTCGTGCAACGGAAAGAATTAACAGTCAGTTATAAAATTGTTTTATTTCGATTGAAATTTAAACAAAAATAAAAACTCAATTCAATTCAATATCTACAGAAAATATATTCATCTTGCAAAAAATATTTGACTTAAAGTTCACGCCAATAATTCAACCTGAAACATATTGCCTAAACCCATTGGTATAACGAAAAAAATAAATTAAAAAAAAGGAATTTCCACCAATCAAACAAGATGAATTTTTGATCATACATATAAAAATAATACTGCAATAGTGCTAAATGAAATGTATGGAGCATAAAAATAGCGCCAGAGAAACCACACAACTTTTTATATAATAAATACTATAATATATGTTATTACGCATGTAATCGAACTAAAAAAGTTTTCAACATTTATTTTATTTTATCAATATCTTTTTATGATCAAATCTAAATCAAATTGAAATCGGAAGCAGAATCGATTAAAATTCTACCTCGTCTTATTTGCGCCTAGCCTAGCAAGGAAATAAAAAATATTTCATAATTTATTGCTAATATCCTACTTTACCCAATGAAAAACCAAATCTAAGCACAAATATTTTTACTATTACAATTGTAAATAAAGAAAATCAAAAACACACTATTCATAATAAAATGTAAAGCTCATCATCAGAATAATTACAAATACACATTAAAAATTATAATCACAAAGTTATCATGTAAGGATATATCCTCCATGTTGCTGCTCTAGAGTAAAACGTTATTAAAATGCATCACATTCGAGATTTACGAGACGGTAATTATGATATTGCATAAGAGCCATATCGAATACAAATTCGGAACTAAATCACTGATAATCGATACCATTAATTCGAAGAATAATTTAGCACCGCCGACAGAACGATTCGATTCATCGATCATAATGACATATTATTGACGCGTACCATGTAATAAGGCTCTCATCGCGGGCATAAGTGAAAATAACACAGCATGTTGGGTGCAGTTTTGATATCAATTATATGAACATCAAATTGATGTAATCTTTTAAGAATGACCAAATTAAACACACTCGCACGTTCATACATACTTTTGTTACATATAGGGTAGAGGGGGTTTAAGGGTCCGCGGGTAAAAAGGTTCACCACCGATATCTCAAAACCGAGTGAAGTTAAGAATTTCTTAATAACAATATTTGAAAGTAAAGAGAAAACGATGTATAGCCAAGCTTATGACGTCGATGTTAGAAAAAAAACGGCAATGTTTGAAATTCCTTAATAAAAGTATTTTCTATCGTTGTTAGTTTTTTTGGTTGTGAGCACTGTTGTTAAGTTCACGAGACCAATTTTGTAAATATAATAACTCGAGTTATTTTTCGTTACGTTTTTATTAAATGATTCAAAAATAAATTATACTCATGATTAAACCATGATGTATTACATATTCATTTCATTTTATCAACGATCAAATTGTTACTGTAAAAAATATAGTGTTATATGAAATAATTCACCTTTAAGTCATGAAAAAAATCTTGCACACAAGCTTATCCAACAATTGAACCGTTACATATGAAATTATTATAACATTATAATATCATTACTTGCGAAATGATTTTATAGTGTGCTTACTATAATACATTGCATTTCTAATCGAGTTTGCTATATTGAATGCTTTTGTTGTCGAATCCCGTTAGGTTGTAAAACCTCTTCACTGGTAATTTTAATATCACATTGTTATAAAGAATTAACGTGACATTATTACAAATTCAGAATCGAGCAAAGAAATAAAAAAATAATGATATCAAAATTACAATAATCAAACTTCATTTATTTGAAAATTTAAATTAAGTATAAATTATTACATTTCCAAAATAGCAAACCAAAAACATTTTAAACGTCCTAGCGAATATATTTATAAATTAAGGAAACACCATGACATTCGAAAGTTCTGTACAAAAACCTATATTTTTTTTAATTTTTGATTAGCAATAAGAACCTACAGATGAGAAGAATAAGATATGCTAAAGTGACTTAATATTAGTCGGTTCTACAGATGGCAATCCAAATAGTTGTCGCATCTCTGTGTGATGAAGTATTATTACAATTTTTGTAATAGGGCGAATATATATTGATGCAGCAATGCAGGATCAGGGCTATCTTTACTTAGAAATATATTGAAATCTATATTTACAAGTGAAAATCGTTGTCACTACTGCTGGAGAACTTGATCAACCCGTAACCTCTGACTCCAGTCGTTCTAGCCACTTAGATATACGAGCAAGCTCACAAATATCTACTTATAGAAATATAGGTTCTATAGATCACAGAAATATTTATACCACAAAATTATGGAGCTTTGCTATATTGGATAATAGTTTAAAAGATTCTACGTTTCAATATAATAAATAATAATAATGGGTAGCCTGCCCTAGGGCAGGTCCGTGAGTTGAGTTAAACCGCAAATCGATTCAGGAAAGAATAGTGTGAGAGATTTCCTATTGCCATTTCACACCACAGTGCGGAAATAAGGAACATATTTTTAATATATATTTTCGAGTAAAAATTGATATCTGAATTGCATGATATTAGGTTATTCAAAGCGGGGGTTCGAACTGACGAACCCACGAACTCAAGCAGCTATAATAAAAGTACAATTTGTTGCACCTATAAATAAAATAGGCGCGAAGTCAAACTAATGTTATCTTTTGACATTTGTGCCATTCAGAAGTTAGGTTATAGCAGTTGACATTGTGTATAATGCTCTAATAAACCACAAAGATATAGCTTTTTGACAGTTTTGTGACTACCAAATCATGCGATTCAATCCGAAAATTGTCCCAAATGCCTTCATACTGGAGAAACCAATCACGATATATACTTTAATGCAGAGTTCACATTTTGATCATCTCACATTTTGTGAGATATTTATTTGGAAACATCCATGTCTATCAGCAACTTCCCTATTGCATTCCGATAAATTCAGCGGTCTGTGGAATTCTAATAAATAATGTTTTGCATTTTGTGGCAATGCTCGTGTAATAAATTTAAAATGTCTGTTTTTTGTTCAACAGCGGCGACAGTGGTTCGACCAACGGCTGCGTGGCCCTGAGGGCCCCAACACTGGAATGGGACACAGCTGACTGCACAGAAGTCAAAGATTTCATCTGCGAGCAGACGCGCTGCTATTACTACAATTACGGAAGCATTCCCGTCTCCTCGGCGCAGGGGTAAGGGATTAAGATAAATGCTAAGGTGAGCCCAATCTTACCTCCCACCAAACGCATATAGAAATATCATGAACTTTTTAGTGTTTTTATTTAGGTATTATATACACACCTAATATTTTGTGTATGCGTAATCAGCAGCAGAGCACTTTATGTAATTCACATTATTGTCGTTGTATTTAACATTAAACAAAACATCAAACTAAATTGTTGACACTCCATCTGAATGTAAAATTTCTTCTCATATAAGCAGTGCTATTTATATTAACTTATTTTAATTCTATATACTTAATGACTAACATATCAATATAATATTTTAGAAGATTAACGAACAATTACTACTCATTTGTGATTTATCTAGTAGAACTGTTATAATACGAATGAAGAAAACATTTCCGATAAAATAAACTTACACAATGCGAATTAAATAAAGTGCCTGAATTATTTTACAATAACAATATTATGCATATTCATAAATTATTGTTTTCCGTATTTGTTATTATTTGTTATTAGATATATTTATATTATTATATAACTTATGGTGGTTGGTGAATGGGCTTACACTGCTTTATCATTAATTATATTAATTATTAAGACCACATACTGCTAATTATATAATATCGTTACTTAACAATATAATAATAGTATTAAGATTAGGAACAAAATAACAAAATTCTGCATACGTTCAGTTTATGTCTATGATTATGTTTTACCAATGCCATTGACAATATTTTTTAATATCGTCATGTTACAAGAACAGAGCGAGAATTTTTTTTATTGGGTTTAGCAAACAAAACCAATGATCTTGGCAACTAAATTCACCTAATTTAACTAAATCGTGCTAACGTATTTAACACAATTAATTTTCGAGCAAAAACTTACGTCATGAGATTTTGCTGTAATGAGATTATGCAAGCACTAATTAAAAAAATCATTTAGTTGAAAAGTGTATTTAAAAAATTATGTTTTCGATTTATTATATCATAACAAAAGACAAATGACTAAAATATGTACATTGGCAATATATATATATATATATATATATATATATATATATATATATATATATATATATATATGTATATATATATATATATATATATATATAAGTTTTCAAAATTGCAGATACGCACATTTATATGTATTTTATTTGTACTTTCTGAATTTAATAGTAAATAGATGAGAGAACTCGGAAACAAAATATTTTTGAAAATTAAAAAATTAATTTATTGCAATAAATGTTAAATAAGTTGTCCCTTCTGAAGCGAAACAAGCCATGTAATTGCACATTGAAAATTAATATGCAGTCAATTTAATATTTGATAATTTAAGTGGACCTAACAAAAACTTTGACTCCTCAGGAAACCATTATCGCTTACGACAACCACAACACAATTGCCACCTACAACTCCTTATGTGATGACGAGCACCACTCAACAGCCTCCATTGAACGACGAAAAACAATCGGAAGAAACTAGCGAAGAGAAAAAGCAAGCTTCCAGCGATAGTACCGAAGAAGAAAATCATTCAGCTGAAGAAGAAGTCGAAGCCGATGAGGAGGAACCTGCATCTGAGAATGAAGAAGAGCCCAGAGCAACCTTCAGGCAACAACCCGAGTTGGATAGCGCAACTCGTTTCAGCTTATCCGATCTGATCAACACTTTGCGCCCTCACAACCAACCTATGGGTAAAGCTGCTTCTTTGATGAACCTGCAACATGAACCTAAAGACATGGGCCCTCATGCCAGACACCACATTCCCCAAATCGATGGTCATTATTCAGGAATTAACGTGTTGACATCTAACAGCGAAGTAGATCAACATCATTCAGACTCTAAAACCGATTCTAAACCAGAATCTAAGCGAGTGGACGTTGAATTCACAACTTACATGAGTTTAGCCAGTGACACCGATGTCAATAACACACCAACTGATCTGCCACCTCAGCCAGACAACTCGCTGAAGAACGAAGAGGCATCAGCTACCTCGGGACCTTATGCGGCGGACCATCACGAAATGCCCCAAGGCGATGACCCCAACACTGGCAGCCACGATGAATTCACAAACGTCGAAACAAATCAGGATGAAGTTAAAGAGCGCGATTCCTTCGTCAGCACCGTTCTACCTGATATGACAACGTTCAAATACATGCAGTCAGTGCGCGGATCACACAAACAATCCGAAACCGAGCATTGATGATTCTATTTGAGCAACCTCTTTCGAATAATTTTCTTCTTCGTACTATTAATAATTTTAATTTTGATACTAAAAATATTATATGGAGCTGTGTAGAGTGCGTATCTTCGCCAACGGAACTATTCAGTGGAAAAAAACAGCACTGACAATCGAAAAACAATTGTAGCGACTTCACTATTTAACATGTACAACAGTATATAGCATTAGTTTCTCTATGAAATATTATTATATACATTCCATATAACAGTTGCCTTATCGATCATAGTTAAAATTTCAAGCTTCCATCGAATATTAGATATTCAATTTACTAAGTTTTCCATGATCGCAATTCCATTAGATTATGTTAGTTTTAAATGTCGATATTACTCACCTAATTTAAGAAATCAATGATGGAAATATACGTATAATTTTCTCATTATCATACTGATAAAAAATCAATTTGAATGGTCGTTTTCATAAGATGTTTAAACAAATCAAAAGCATAAACGTTTTTGAATTTCACAGGTATAAGGAACAGGGGCCAATGCACTATTTCATTAGAATGAAGTAGAAGCACTTTTAAAATATAGGTATATAAATAATTCTAACAAACATCTTATGAACTTGCCCATCGTATCGTTCATATTCGCCCATTATTATAATTGTAGTAGTAAAACTGTATTATTAGTTAAGATTATTCTTGTAATACTGATACTATTACATACAATATAATAATTTAAAATGTGTTTTAATTCATCATATAAAACTCGTAAAAATAAGTTACTTTTTGAAAATTTGTAATAAATATTTAATTATATAAACACGTCCGGTGCTTAGTTTTGTCTATGAGTTGATTTCGAACATAGAAATATTCTTCATAGGGCATAATATATAAACGTTAAATGTAATAAATATTAATTTTCAGCTTATATATATATATATATATATATATATATATATATAAACGTGGTTATCATGATCGTCGACACATATATTCAACAAATTAATTCGAAGTGACACATATGTAATTGGGAGCAAATAAAAAATAAATACTATTAAATTCTAGCACTCACCAGCCGTTAATGACTCCTTCGACATTTAACATTGGTATTATTTTAAAAACATATTGCCGGCGGGCTGTCTGAGAGAGTAATCCGGAACCTAATAAAGAATACAGCGTGCCACGCATGACCCACGAAGCATTTGTCTCACCTGGATGGACTCGACTAGTTAGAAATATTATTTTTCTGTTCTAATGAAAAAAAGGAATTGAAAATTAGTAAAACTCAAAATATATAAGTAATTTAACACCAAATAAAAATGAACTACCAACGATTTTATTCAAGTTATCAAATTATTCCAGCAAATATGAGTAGTTATAATTAAACTAAATATTCAAAGACCACAATACTATTGTAATTTCGACTTACTGAAATTTTATTTTGCGGTTGATCTGTAGCAGTGATTGTTACTAGAGGTTGTTCGTTTCCATTTAATGTTGTACATAATGTTTCAACTCTCATCAAAATATCAGGAGTTGCATTTTTCTGCAACCTCCATATATCAGTCTGCAAGAATTCAACAGAATGAGTATATTTTTATAAACTAAATGCACATGCAAATATAGCATAATTTAGTCCAATGTATTAATGTCAAAATTACGGTTGTGTTTGATACAAATTGATACGGTTATTTTTATCGAGTTTTATTAGTATTGTAATTAATTACAATATGATCTTGAATTTCATTTATTTATATATTCGAAACATTATAACTGATTTTTTCAATGTTGAAATTCTCTAGAAGAACCACAATGCACAAATTTAGACATCAAAAAGTCTAGAGTTTTGTTTTTTGCTTATAAGCATACTCTTCCGTATCTGATTCTTAACGTTATTGTCATATAAAATATTCACTCAAAAATCATATAGTTTTAGTATGTGAATGCAACTACACTAAATATTAATGTAAATAAATGTTCATCTACACCTTAAGATAACTTGAGAAAACTACACAAAAAACACGATACTGAAGTAATTTTACGGTTGATGTATCATTAAAATAAGCAAATTATTAATATTTCGCATTCAAAATGATCAATTTATCGAGAATAAATCCCCTGGTCGATTAAAGCATCGGAGGGTAAAGATTTTTTTTTCAATAAAATTATTGTTACTAAAGTTGTTCAAAGAAATTAATACGATATATAATAGATAAAAACTAGTGTTACATGGCATCTTAAGGCAAGTTGCTGGAACTTCCCACACCGTAATGAAATATTTGAGAAATTTTAAATGTTTTTAAATAGATTATTATAAATAGTGTAACTTTTATTATTCGTATCTTGTAGAAAAAATATAAGAGCTTATAATTTGTACGACGTCGTTTATACAAGTATATAAGTGAGCAATAGAATTTTAGCTAGAATTAAAAATAAAATTTGAATCATTTTTTTTTATTTTGAAATGAAAATATTGCCTTCCCCAAAAAACAATTCTTTCTTCACACTGCCAAGACATCAAAATGTTATTTGAATCATTTAAATCGGAGACTTCGTTCTCTCAAGAATAACAATTTTTAGCACTTTTAGCTCCGAAACGGCTGGACCTATCTTTGCAAAAAACTAATAAGCACGTTTCGCCATGTTTTTTAAATAATTCAAAACGGCTGATTCGTACGCACAAGATCGCAACCGAAAACAAAAAATTACATCCACACAAAACACACCCTCACTCACACACACATACCCACACATCATTTTTTTCTGATTAACTATAGGGTATGCCAAAATGTTCAGAAACCTCTAAGACATAATAATATGCAATAATTTTCATTTTTGGACGATTGCTATAGGTCACCCTATGGAAAGTTAATAATCAAATCGTTACATAAAAAATTCTAATACTATCGGTATATATTTCATTGAAGTAGATTAAAATACTTGTCTTCAGCATAATGTGCAATCATAAAGAAAATTTTTCTTCGGTGCCTTCGTCAACAAGCTACTATGAGAAGATATGTTGTTATAAACGTAATCAATTTCTATATAATATTGAGAACCAAATGTCATCTCGTTTTATGTTAAGCTTAAATTACAAGGTTAGCGTTTTCCTATTAACAACATGTGCATTATATTTTATAAATAATCCTGGTATTTATTGTCGTAAGTCTAGTATCCGCATTTAAAGTGTCGGATGCTTTAACGTTGTCGGCTAAGCGTCAGTTTATTGCACTTAATTCATTAATACTTACTAATAATCTGGAATATGTGTACGGGTAATGGTAAGCTAGATAAACCACATCACAGGAGTATGGAAATTGCACGGTAAACGTCGCCGTAAAGTAGCTTCCAGTCTGCGCGCTATGCTTCACATTCGGATTCCTGTAGCCGTTTCTGTAATAACAAACTTTGGTACCTACTCGAACCCAGCCTGCAAGAATTGACATATATTGATTATAATAAAAAATATAAGTTATCGAAGAAAATTTAGTTTCATTTTAAAACTGTGTTGTGTGTTCGAATAATATTTATGACATTCAAATAATTGAATATATTCAGCATGATAATAATAAATAATAATAGGTAGTACTGCCCTAAGGCAAGTCCTTGAGCTGAGTTAAACTCCAACTAGATTCAGGAAAGAATAGTGTGAGAGATTTTTCATTTCTATTTCACACCGCTGTGCCCGAAATGGGCTATTTCCAATTGGAAACTCATTGTTGATCTATATTTTTAAGTAAAAATGAAATCGCTACTGTGGACCCCGTCCACTCGAGTCCGTGAGCTTAACCATAAAACACCATATACTGCATGTATTGATCCATACACAAAATGAAATATTGCAAACCAAAATAACACGATTGTAAATAATGTTCAACCTGAGAATGAGATGTAAGAAACAAAATTATCACAATAGTGATTTTTAGAAAACGTCGACGAAAGGTGAAATTTTGACTCACGTCTAAAACTTTTGCACACTTCGATGAATTTTTCAAATTAAACGACTTCCGAAATTAAAAACATTTAGTATGTTCCTAAGACCATAATCTCTATCATCAAAAATATCCATAAAATTCATGAATTCTTTTTAGCAATTAATTACAAAGAAACGGCTCGGCCGATTACTAAAAACTAATCAGCGCGATTCCCTGCTAATTACAAAGAAACTGATAAACGATAAAGTCCTTATCAAATTTCATCGAGTTAAATTTCTGAAATGGGTATAGCCGTTTTAGAGAAAAAAAATCCAAATTTGGTCTCAAACAATTAAGAATGACTTGAAAAGTTGGCAAAACCCAAAACTAGCATTTTGAATTTTTTAGTGGAAACAAACTTCTCCATCGGAAAGTTAAAAAAATAGTTTTACAATTTTAAATTCAAGATTATCATTAATAAGTGATAATATCACTTATTAATTATGATACATACTTTAACTGATTTTTATTCAAAGGAAATTTGCCATTTCACTAAAATATTTTCTTCGCCGAGCATTTCCTCTATTGATTACGTTTATTAAGTTATCAAAGTGGATTTGTTATTACAAGAAAACTAAATTATCAATAGAAAAAAAATCAGAATTTATAATAAAAATGAAAATTATTGTACAAAATTCTTTTTTAGATCTAATATTTATGTTATATAATTAATGGACAAAAATTACCAACAATCGTAGAAATTAAAGAAATACATCTATCGCAATTGTCTAATATCTTTTTTTTAATATTTAATTATAAAATCAAATTCAGTTTGAGTACTCGGTACAAAAATAAAATTTATATAGACTTGAAAAATTGTGCTCAAAGAATAAGATATTAGTATGATATAAAATGAAGTGTAGTAAAAGTAGCTAAATGCTATACACAGACCAATAAAAATCATATTTAAATATTATCGCAGCACAATTAAGATACATTTTCATATTTTGAAAACTACAAAATTAGATCATAGATACTCTTCGTTAGACCAAAATAATGCATCAAACTCAAAGTTCTACCATGTAAGCTCATGTATGCGCCAAAGAGTACACTGTTGAAATAAATATCTAGAATTATTTTCCAGTGTTCTAACTTAATAGAGTTATCTGCACCACAACAAATTTAGATTTATAATCAATTTACTATCGACCTACCGACTTTTCCTAGGACGGCATCCGTTACGGAATACATGACGGGCTTCATGCCGTAGTTGAATTGGCTATTAGGCTTCTCGCAATTGCATATATTGAATGTGTACGAAGCGTCCGACATCATATTGCTGACTTCGAAATAAAACCACATGTGCCTTTTATCAGAATTAACGTCGGGATTAAGTATTAAATCGTACTCGAACTGTCCGACCTGTGTAATAAAGAATTTTTTATACTTGGCTTATGAATACAAAAATAGTAATATTTGTAGTTGTTTTATTTTACTTTATAACGCCAATTCACACAAGCATTATCATGTGGAAAAGTTACATTGCACAGACGGTTGCGCAGAATTATTCACACCGTGCTATTCGCAGGGGAATAAAATTTATTATTCATAATTCAACCCTCTTTGCAATATCTTATTGTTAATATCTCTGATAGTAAGCAAATGTAAATAAACGTACATCAACATAAAAACAATGTTTTATGTAAACTATAAAAACTTGATAAACCAATTGCCTTAAAATAATTTAAAAATTTTAACCCTTTCGCTACGGATATCGTCCCTGGCATATGTAGTGTTTGTCTTTGCTTCAAGATTTATCACTATGAGTTAAAGTATTGAGAATTGAAGTTTTTTTATTGTAATTTCTAGTTTATTAGAAGAGTAATTTTTAAATCTCTAACACATTTTTATAATCATATATAAATCCTATCTTAAAGTTTATCGTTGTGCCTTTCAGCAGCAACACTCCTGCGGAAAGCACACCCGTAGCGAAAGGGTGAATGGCTTATGAAACTTGATTTTTTACTTGCAAAATTTTTTTACAAAAAATCACTTGATTTTTTAATTGCTAATACCTGCACAACTTTTCGTAAATTTCCACTTTCGAACCTAGATTCGAATATAAGCGAAGCACCTCTAGTTATCGCACGACCTAATCTGACCTCATCATCATTCGACAGAGTTCTAAATTCAAACAATAAAATACAAATATAATAAAAATAATATACAAATATATTCTGTTATAAATTCATGTGAAACTGTGAAACATTACAATATGCTAACGTGTTTATGAATAATGAATGCAGTAAGATACTTATTTTTGGTAAAATATCAATATTATAAAGACAACCAGTTAATTTTAAAAAATAAAAATAAAAAAAAGTATTTATTAATTTTAAAACATTATCAAAAATGTAGGTAGTTTATGATACATTATTTCACACTGGACGAATAAACTTTGTGCTTTTGATATTTAAACATGATTCGTCTGATATAGTCAAAAAGTCAAAGGTAAGTTTTTATGTCTGAATTTTTTAAAATTACCATTTAATTTACTTTTCTCCAAGCTAACTGGTAAATTAATAAAACTAATGCCGATCAAAAAAAGTGGCACGACCGTACCGAGTCGCCCCTACTACATGAATGAATTTAAGCAAAAATGTACGAGCTTCATCTGAGTTAAGTATATTCATATATCATATAAAATATATTATATAAATACTCAAATACTTCATACTCTAAGGATGTATAAAAGACCATAAAGCACATACTTTTCTGTCATGTTAGGCCGATGAGTATATAGCAATGAATCAAGATCGTATACCACGTTATGCATAGTTTTAGCAGCGTTTACGGATCTTTCCAAGCATGCCATCATCTTCTCCCTGTTGAATTTACGATCGAGTTAAAAAGAATAATATGGGATATATATTCATAAAGCACTCACATGTCGCATGTAGCACGCAAAGCATAAACTAAGGATGTTAATTTAAAACTGAATCAAACGATTTACAGAGAATTTATGTATTAGCCTATCATCATAAAGAAGACCAATTGTGTTATTCATTAATGTAAACTGATTACACGGCAAATAAGAACTGAATTGATATCATAAATTATTTCTTAAAAATATAATTTGTTAAGTTTAACGCTCTATAATTTATAATGTATAACGTTCATTTTTATTAAATAGTACTATTATTAAATAGGAAGCACTGCAATTTTTTTACACACATACGTTGATACATATATATTAGAGATGGGTAACTCACTCCAGAGTTGTCACTCCGATACGACTTGTCCTTCGGAATGAATCCGAGTGGAGTTGTCTCATAGGATTTGTCATATCCGACTTCCCTAAACTGGTACTAAATCTGTTAACATGTGCAGATATTTGCTTGAGATTTTTTACCAATACAAAGATTTGGGTCGAAAGAAGTGGTCTTTTTCTCGTCTCACAGCCAGTTTTAGAACTTTTCAGGTATATAATGTCTCAAAATAATGCTATTTTGTATACTATATTCTATATACGATAATGTTTGTCCGCAAATGAGCACTTTCAATGCTATGCAACCAGCTGAATAAAATATTATAACTTTTACACAATTATGATTTTATAATTGTGTAAAAGTAATAGCATGCTAATCAAACTACCTGATGCATAATTAATTCTCGAAAAGGAAACAATAAAAGAATGTGATGTATTAATATTTTGTGAAAAAAATATTATACACAAAGATTTGTTCTTATTTCATATATAAGGTTCACTGCATTATTTTCACATGAAAATAAACATATTCAAAAAATTCTTTATTTTCTCTTCAGAAATAATTACAAAATTGATTTTGATTCCCAAGTTTTTTGTCAATTTGAGATTTGTATGCATATTGAAATGCATAAAATAGTAATTATTACGATAAAATGAACAAAAATGTCTGAACTATTTGCAAACTATTTTCAAAGTCTTAATAAATCTTTAGATATGTTAACAACACACTCGAGAACACATTTGTGTCAAGTATTATGTTTCAAAGTTGTCGGAGTTGTAGAGTTGTTAAGTGGATATAACTCCTCTCTGAAGCGAAGTCAAATCCTAACCGATCCGGCTTCGGATATGATAAGCCCATCTCTAATATATATTATAGAATAGTTTTATTCACAAATATCATCACCTGAAGGGCGCCTTCTTCTGGGGTTGCAAGGCGTGCTGCTGTAGCCCAGCCCTCGCGCCGAACGCTTCGGGATGAGCAACTTTCACAAACGGAGCTACAGATTTTACTTGGGATGCAATGTGAGTGTACACATGACGTGGCCCATAGGTTGTTGCAATTTTACGTAAAATCTTCATCGATGTTGGATCTATTAGTTGAAAGACAATGTTAGAATTTACAATACGTATTATATGTACATCCTTCCCTTGCGCTTATCAAAATCTATCCAAATCAAAGCATCTAAACTTTTGGAATATGTCGTATGTTTACATGTAATTCACTTATGTTATATTAAATCAAGTATGCAAATCCTTGACAAAACCCCGACAAAATAAAAATCATACCAACAAGTTGAACAATATAAAAAATACAGGTTACAGGTTCAATATGTATACGCATATTAAGTTTATGAGTACGTCTGATAAGATATTCCCGATACTCTTATATCAGGATTAACTGTTCAACTAATACTTTGTTCAATTTTCGGTAATGTCTGAAATCTCTAACATATGTGTACTAATATATGAGTCCACATGAATGCATAGCTTCAGTCGAAACGAACAGTTTTTTTTATACCTGTATGATAATAATATATACCTGTAATAATATATAGCTGAATGTACTGTGTATAGTTTGCTATGAACAATAAACCAAAGAAAAAAATATAAAGAATTTTTTATGAATTTAAAGTAAATACTGACATTTTATTATCTTTGGAAATTATTGAATTCTTTAAGTTATGAAACTACAAAATAATTTGAGAATTTTGAGTCTTTGATTATTTTGAGAATTGATGCAATGCACAGAAATTGTCAAAATCGTTTATCACAAATAAAGTTATTGCATTGCACATAAGTAAAGCAGTGATATCTCTGCTAAAAGATCAAAAGTTTTAACCACATATTTTTATAAATTCAGTTTTCAATTATTTTTATTTCGCTTGTAAAATGTTTTGTATATTATCACAAAACCGTGAATTACGTAAAAACCTATACAAACTTTATAAATTCCTCCATAAAATATGACATTTTCATATTACATGGTTGAAATGCATGCTCATAAAACTGCATTTTTTTAAGTATTTTTGAAATTCCCAGTTATCGTTACAGAACCCATAATTTAGTAAAAATACGAGTGCATATTATTAATTTTTTACATGAAATATTATAGGTAAAAGTTATAATATTAATAATTAGTTAAATTAATAATAAGTCATTATGTTTGAATCCAAACAAATATTTCTTTTATCCCTATGTTTATCATAAGGCAGACCGAATTGCCCTCATGAAAAACGTATTTTAAGGAGCCGATTCTGCCGTAAAATGGACCCATGTTATGGCAATTCTTCTCATACAAAATGGTACTAAACACTGTCAAATACCATGTGGTTACTGTACAGTCAAACGTTTTAGATAGAAAACTTAGAAAACGCACAAACGTCAAACGCACAGTCTCATCATAACCACATCTTTGTGATGTGTCTTAATAACATATGAGTGAATTTGCATTTTATGTGTAAAACGCCTGCATTTTGACAGCATTTAGTATCATTTTGTATGAGAAGCGCTACGTAAGATAGCCTTACAATAACATTGGTCTATTTCACGACAGAATCGGCCCCTAAATTTCATTAAACAAGATATGTCCTGGCTTCTATCTGTCCAAATTTATTATTTGTGTCAAAATAGATTTCATAATAGATTTTGTAGTATACTTTTTGTTTTATATTATACTCTTAATCAATTTTTACGCTAGTAGTATCAATTATGAGTATAATAATCAAATCAAATTAAAATGTTATCCCTTTTTTATATTGTTAACGATCTCTCCCCATTGTTTTATTCAAACAGAATAAATTTAATTTAAAAAATAGCTTTTAGATAGTCATGACCCTAATTTGAAATTAATAAAGCTACACTAAAAGCTTATGGTACCGTACTACATACCTTGAGTGTCATTAATTACACTGTCACTGTATCTCTTCAATGTGTCTTCGCGTTCTTTGTTAGTCAGATCTCGTTGTCCGGCCCCGGAAACAACTGAGCATGACTCTTTGTTTCCGGGTATCGGGAAGCAACCAGTCGTCGAAGATTTCTGATGCGCCGGAGTTGAGCCTTGATCCTTGGCTTCTGACCGGCTAGAGTTCAGCTGGTTGCTGGAGCAGCCGTACTCGCTGTAGAAAATTGCGTATCTGGAAAATAGACTTTAATCACTAGGTGAATATGTTTACTGATAATACATTGTTAGAACATACCACAGGGCTATTTCAAAATATTTCAAGTGCCAATTTATTTTATACACTGATTTATAGAAAAATAGAATTATATTGCTTAAAACATTCTCCAAATTATTAAATTAATGGTGATTGAAATAAAGACGGTAATACGTACACCAACCATATTGATGTTGTAAGAAAAATCAATATCTACACTTGTACAAATCAATAAAAGCAAAACCCTTATTTTTGTCATTTTTATTGATTGATGCAAATTTCTCACTACAATTTAGGTTTCAAAGTCATTCTTTTGCGTAAAAAGTTTTGTTCTACGATCTAAGAAAAGATTTCATTATTTAATCAAACTTAAAGATTTTCTTGTCAATTCTTTTATTATAAAGAACTTGAAAAAATAAAATTATTACAGATAATCACTAAATCATTAATGGCAGTTGCAACAAATTAGTTAACCGATTTCTCTAAAAAAATTTACATATCTAATTACAAGTATGCCGATTGTAATAGCATATTACAGCACTAAAAGCTTTCTTGTTGCTGGTGTATTCTTTCTATAAGAATGTAAACTAAGCTGACCATATTTTTTTGCATGAAATCCGGGACGCATTAGAATGTGTGCGAGAGACTTATATGCACATTTTTGGTGCAAATTTTCTAGTTGAAATATATTTTAAAAAAATATTGGCTATCGAAACATTTTTAAAAATCCGGGACAATCCGGGACAAAACACCTAAAACCGGGACAAATATTACTTTTAGAAAAAGCCGGGACGCAAGGCGGAAAATCGGCCAATCCGGGACGTATGGTCACCTTAAAACTAATCAATTTCAAATTAGATATGTAGCCACAAAAATTAACTAAGATATCGTCATGTGAACTGGGTCTGGTGAGTTAATTCATTCAGATAAAAAAATGCCAAATATTCCCTGCACTAACAGTATTTTTTTTTATTTGCATAGATTTATTGCCGATCAAAATAAAATAAATTTTACTAATAGTGGATGTTTCGAAAAAAGTATATATAATCTACAAGATTTTAGTACTAACTGTAAGTCATGAAGTGCTAATTAAAAGCGATATTAATATGATATTGACTACAATAAATCAAGTCTGTTTGAATGTCAAACGTTATAATAGCAACTATATTTATTACTTATTGAGTTTTTTTCAATTTTTTTTATAGTTACACGTTTGTATAATAGAAAGGGTATGGGCGTGTTTCCATACAGAATTGGCCCCACCCTGGTATTTAAATAATTTTGATGTCATTTTATAGGTATTTTCGAGAAAATACGACATACCAAATTTCAAATCCGTAGCTCATCATTTGGCCGAGATATCAGTGAAAACATGTGAAAGTGGCCCCTTTTTTCAAACTCACTTTTTGTCGGAAATATGAGAGATATCGAAAAAATGTTAACGTCATTCTATTTATACTGATCTTGTCTATGTTGTTCATAACAAATAATGTGAAAAAATTATTTGTTAGTGTGAGAAAAAGTGAAAATAATTTTTTGTTTTGAATTTTCGGGTAGTGCGGTTGTTTGGACTAATTTTTAATTAGCATCATTAGAAGGGCTATTGAATTTTCTTTTGGTGTGCAAAATTTTGTTTTATTTCATGTGGTAGAACACATTCAAAATTAGAAAAAACCTGAGCAAGTACATGCTCGCGCTCATATAGCGCCCGTGTAAGTCGTCTCTCATTCGCAATGACTAGCAACAGCATTACTCGCCGCGCGTCTTGATAAATTAAAACATTTTTAATAAAACACAAGATATATACATTTATATTTTGAATAATTATATATTTATATGTATATGTATAATAACTATATTTTTATATAATTAAATATATATTATTTATATATTGCACAAGTATATTATATGATTTAATCATCATTAATAATTTATTAATTATTAATATTAATTATTAAGACCACTAAATAAATAAAATATAGGTTGATAAAAAATATACATAATAATAGTATATCGGTATAGGATTATTATTCATGCTACAGTAATGTATACAAATTCAAGTATGGTATACTAAGTTAGTCATAAATATATTAAATAATATCTTGAAGTTTTTTTTCAAATTAAATAATATATATTATTATTTAAATTAAAGATTATATTTTCAATATATCCTATGGAATGGAAGTACTCTACTTATAAACGATATTAGAAAATTCGCAGCATTATGATTATATATTGTATTGTGGTAACAACTAAATTATATACTAATCAAATTAAATTGATACTAAAATATAAGAAAAGTGCAAAATCGACTGGTACAAAGGTGTAGATCACACCAAAAATTAAAAAAAAAACATTATTCATTTAATAATTATTAAAAACTTCGTGATTAGTTAAATTCGAAAATTATATTAATTTTATTCTATCTGTATTTTGTTATATTATGTGTGGTTTATGCGAGCAAAATTTCAAATATCGTTTTAATTAAGGATGATACACAATAGTGCAGTAGTTCAATAATTATTATGAGTATTTATAAGTAGAGTACTTCCATTCCATAGGATATATTGAAAATATAATCTTTAATTTAAATAATAATATATATTATTTAATTTAAAAAAAACTTCAAGATATTATTTAATATATTTATGACTAACTTAGTATACCATACTTGAATTTGTATACATTACTGTAGCATGAATAATAATCCTATACCGATATACTATTATTATGTATATTTTTTATCAACCTATATTTTATTTATTTAGTGGTCTTAATAATTAATATTAATAATTAATAAATTATTAATGATGATTAAATCATATAATATACTTGTGCAATATATAAATAATATATATTTAATTATATAAAAATATAGTTATTATACATATACATATAAATATATAATTATTCAAAATATAAATGTATATATCTTGTGTTTTATTAAAAATGTTTTAATTTATCAAGACGCGCGGCGAGTAATGCTGTTGCTAGTCATTGCGAATGAGAGACGACTTACACGGGCGCTATATGAGCGCGAGCATGTACTTGCTCAGGTTTTTTCTAATTTTGAATGTGTTCTACCACATGAAATAAAACAAAATTTTGCACACCAAAAGAAAATTCAATAGCCCTTCTAATGATGCTAATTAAAAATTAGTCCAAACAACCGCACTACCCGAAAATTCAAAACAAAAAATTATTTTCACTTTTTCTCACACTAACAAATAATTTTTTCACATTATTTGTTATGAACAACATAGACAAGATCAGTATAAATAGAATGACGTTAACATTTTTTCGATATCTCTCATATTTCCGACAAAAAGTGAGTTTGAAAAAAGGGGCCACTTTCACATGTTTTCACTGATATCTCGGCCAAATGATGAGCTACGGATTTGAAATTTGGTATGTCGTATTTTCTCGAAAATACCTATAAAATGACATCAAAATTATTTAAATACCAGGGTGGGGCCAATTCTGTATGGAAACACGCCCATACCCTTTCTACAAAATATCTAAAAAAAACTTAAATAAACTATAGACACTCGATATACCATAATACTTCTTTATACTAATTTTAAAAAAATAAGGTATTTTTTCACTAAAATTTTTGATTAAGTCCTCTCACGCTTACTACAAAACGTGGCAATAGCGCTGATTTGAAATTTTATTGTGAAATATACCACACCATAAAAGATTATAAAAATTAGAATTAAGAATTATAAAATAGTATCCTCATAAAATAAAGTTTATCATATAAGAAAAAATCAATTTAAAAAATACGAAAAAATAAATTTAAAACGCAAGTTTCACGTGGAACTGGTGGCATAAAAGAAAAAATCTTGAAGAAAAAAGAGTTAATTTCGATCATTTTATGGAATGATCTTGATTCTTGAAATCAAATGCAGTCTATTCTCAATACTTCTCAAAGAAATCGCACATGCGTGGACACATAATAGTCATATGAATATACCACAATAACGTGCAACCACATAATATAGTACCTAAATAAATCTTCAATACTACGACCAGTATCAACACGAATATCCTTGGATCCATCTTCACCTTCCCCGCCAGCTTCAGCATCTGAAGAAGCACCACAATCGGATGCAATGTCCGAATTGGCATCATCCGACGCTGGACTACCTTCATGTTTCTGTTTGTAACTCGTAACATCTGAAAATATATAAATCATAAATTTGACCGAGTTCAAATTTCGTAATGAAATGATGTAGCATCAGTCTTAACTCATTTGTGTCGTAAAATTCATAATTTTAGCAATAGATATTGTATATACAACTATAATTTTAATAAACTTTGAACTTTAAATTTTGAAATTCAGATGTGACACACCAGTGTTAGGCTTATTGTTAATATCTAATTAGTTAGTTATACTTAGATAACTTGTTCACTGTAATGAGCTCATATAAAAATTGTTAGATTTTTTTAAATGAAGCATGCATTGCGTCAGTTTGACGAGTTCCCGTATACATATATATTTATAAGTACTATTAAGTACATAAAACTACCGTATACCTCCGTTGAACGAGATTGATAATTGTTATTGAAATGTATACAAATAGAATAATCATAGAAAACTAATTCATTACATTGAAACGAATACGTATCTATTGAAGTATTTTCTTAGAATTAACTGATAATGAAAATGATATTTCATGTTTCTTTTCTAATATTTAAATTCTTCATAAATCAAGCATTTATAATGATATTTTTTCAGGATTCTGGTCAGCGTAGATAGTTAATTCTAACTTATTTTGCAAAAACAAGTAGCTAATATAACTTAAAAAATAGGATCGTACAAATTACTACTACAAATTTTACAAGGGGTAACACCTTCGACGTGCCATGACAAGACTAAAAGGTGGCATATAACTTCTCGATGATTAGTCATGTTTGGTATGATTTACCCGAAATTTATCGATATCGGGCGAATTATGCCGAAAATATTGTGTGCGGTGTAACTAGAAGACTTGCATATAGAACAATTTAAAACACGACGATAAATAAAAATAAAATAATACAAATCATGACATTTCTTATTCTATTGCTACCGCAGTATGCAACGACATATTTTAGCATAAAACTAAATCATGTTGTGCCATAACGAATATGTTTACACTTAGAATTTACACAGTCAACCCTCCGATAACGCGATACTTTGAGAACACGGTTTCCATAACACGGTTTTTGTTCAACAAGTTCCTTCCGTGTAACCTATGAATGACTAGTAACTAGATACTGTTAAAGTTATTAACGAATGTTTAGTAATGCTCTTTTTTAATTTTTCAAATATTTTTATATACACATGACAGGTTATATCATAGCTGTGTACGACATCAGTTTTAGTAGTGCTAAGTGCTAAGTAAATTTTGTTGGTTAACAAATCATTCTAAAAAAATTCTGCTGGAAAGTATTGAGAAACGGTTTTTTAGTTTAGTTTTTGCTTAATTTTTTATCATTTACTCAAAGAAATTCTACAATTCAATAAAAGTAATTAATATTTTTTTATCACATAACTATGTATATTTTAAAATTAATTAAATTATTAAAAATTAAAATTATTTATAATTATCTATCATATTTATATGAACCCTTCAATTTTTTCATATTACACATATTAGGACATATTAGGATCTTTGACTTTTAGACTGTGCAATGCAAAATTCATAATTTTATTTCTGCTTGTAGGGGCTTATATATTAGAAGTACGATAATGTTAGTGAAATCGTTTGGAGAAAAAATCGTTTCATAGTAAACGATAATATTTTATTGAAATATAAAATGTATTTATTATTACACGTTTAGTTATTTAATTCATACTTAATGTAAAACGTGTACAAACATTTAATGTAAATGTTCAAACGATAACATAATCATACGATTTTCATTGTTGATCAACATGCGTTGATTTCATCGTTCGCCAAACCTCGCAAGAGCAAATCCACTGATTTGTTTATTTTATAGATTTTGTAATCAGGGAGATTGTTTCAAGTGCCAATAATTTTTCACAGACTATTTATTAATTTTAATTTAAACTTCCGAAATTTTCCTTTTTTCTTATATTGACGATCAGAACTCAATGGTGCTATGAGCTGTTGTGATGAATTTCTAACAAACTACAATTTTAGTTTTTTAAATAGCTACCCAAACTCCCATCTTCATGTGATTATTTTTCATTATGGCAATTTATAAGAGATTTTTTTTTATTTATGCAGCAATGCAGTAATGCTATATTTTTTTAAAAAAATACGATGTCACTACTGCTCGACAACAGACTGCTTAAAGCGGAAAATTTTCGAAATAATTCTAGTTTTATTTCTTTGATAAAACTTACGAATACAATTTCAATTTCAATTTTGCTTTTTTGAAATGAACTATATTTACTTTCTAAAACAAACGCATGTTATAAAAACTACAAATTATAAAAATTGATTTAAATTAAAAACGCCAAACGCTTATCAGTAAATACTAATGAAAGTCTCATTTATAGCATCAAATCAAATATTATTTGAAAAAAGAAGAAATAGATATAATTATTTTTTTTCAAAATTTATTACGTGAGGAAAATTAAATATTTTCACGAAAGATTCAGAGCTCATAGAAATTAATTTCTTATTTTGCGAATTGTAATAGCAAGACTAATAGCACAGCAGGCCCAGAGAGCTCAGTCGGTAGAGCATTGGACTTTTAATCCAAGGGTCCAGGGTTCAAGTCCCTGTTCGGGCGGCTAGTTTTTTTATTGAACAATAAATCGCATAAACAGCTTTACAAACATCAAATAAACAGTTTTTAAAGAAATAATATAAAAATTACCTCGCCGGCGGGGAAATACGCCATGATTATTAACCTAATTCAAAGAGAAAATAAATAATCAATGTTTATAAGAACAATCTCAATTTGCCAAATATTATTGATACGATTCGGTCTTTTTCAATAATATTTTTGTGATCCAGGTGCAATAAAAAAAAAACCATCGCCCGAACAGGGACTTGAACCCTGGACCCTTGGATTAAAAGTCCAATGCTCTACCGACTGAGCTATCCGGGCCTTGACGTTGCAAGCATTGCTATTACTAATCGCAAAAAAATCTGATTCTCAATAATATATGCGTGGACCCTCGGATCCAGGAGTTGGTATTACAAACCTTGCTATTATTTACAAATAAATTACTAATTTCGAATGCTATAGTGGCGATTATAAAATATTCTATCATAAACAAGCAAAAAAAAAAAAAAATATTTTAGTGTTTATAATACTATTATAATATGTATTGTTCAAAACAACGTAGCTACAAAACATATTTAATAGTACTGACCTACCTTCATCGTTATAAGGCACATCAAAGACGAACGGTCCCATCATGGTGGGCACAGGCAACGGAATTCTTCCTAATAATAAATGCACTAAATTGCAAGATCTAGCCATAAGGGTATCGTACGTACGACCTTCAGGAAGATTTTGACACATTCGAACTAAAGTTTGTATGGGAGAACTGGCGGATAATAATTGCTTTGCTTGCTCTGTAATAGTTAAGTAATAAAAGTTAAACGAGGTAATAAAATAATTATAAAATACAATATATATTAATTACATACTTATAGCGCACAGTTGAAGTAAACAAGTAACACAATGGGAGAAAATCTTCGCACGCGCTTTTCCTTCGTTTTTATGAGCTCTGTCTAAACACCGTAATAACCAACTTAAAATTGAAGTTTTCAGGACATTCTGACAGCAGCATCCTGCAAACAAATTTTAAATAAAAATAAACAAGAGAGGTAATGAAAATCTTTAATTTGTGGTGCTCTTGTTACTTCGGGGAGACCACTAATTATTATTATTATTATTATAGACACATGCTTCATGCATACGATTGTAATCCAATAAAGTATGATATATTCAATGTATCAAATTAATGAAGTTCTCTCATTAATTCTCAAACTAGGTTGCTCTAATCTTTGCTCATTTGTATCAACAGATTGTAAAAAAACTTAAAAAAAAACAATAAAGTCCTAGTATCTAATGTCAAAGTAAATATAGATTTAAAAATAATTATTACCATTAAAATAAAATATAAATTGTTGAATAACTTCAATTTTAAATAAACAAATTAATATTAGCAATCTTCTAAAAACGGTTAAATTATAGAGTAATTGTCTTCATATTCCATAAAAAATAATATAATTAGTTAGTTTTTTTTCATCAAAGATACTTACGATTTTTTGTTGTTGTGGTAAGAACTTGCAATACTACACGCAATTTCGGCGTTGGTGCCGCACCAATATTTAATAAAACTTTTTCTAGAGTCTGGTGCAATCCATCGCGATTCAAAAGTGACGTGGTAGAGGCTAAAATGGTATTAGATAAAGCATCAAATAAATACTACTAATCATCAATCGTAGCAAATGTTGGAACAAAGCCAACCAAATTTTGTGAAAAATCCGACAAATCAATAAATTTAATATTTTCACACAAAATCCATAAAACCTAATTTTATTCATACAATTCAAAGAAAATTAATAATAAAATCACTCTCTATACAGATTCCAAATAGATGTAATATCTAAATTCAATTATAAAACAAAATACAATACATTTTTATAAGAAAGACTTCATAAAATCTAGAACACTATAATTGTAATATAAAGAAATAAAATCCGAGCATTTCGAAAAACAAACACTAACACTTTCTAATTTCGAAGAATTTTCATTTAGCATCTGTTTATTTTTTAAATTTGCCTCAATTTTAAGTAGTTATTCAAGTATGCAAAAATAAAAAAAACGCAATATGATACTATTACTTATTATCGATTAGTTGATACTTACTATTTTTGACGAGCGTTTTAAAGATAATCAGTAGTGGAAAATGTATTTTCACATGATTTGCATAGAATTTTAGTAGAAGGTGAAATGACCGGATTGCACCCATGGAACGCGTTTTAAAAGAAAATTTTGGATCTGGAAAAAATCAGTATTATTTAATATACAATCATATCAGGATACATATTATTTACAGTCAGAACTTATATGTGCAATATTACAAATAATACATCCTGTACTTATGAAAGAATTGTATAATATTTGTTATTAAATAATATTAAACACGATAATAATATTAAACACGATAGTTATCATGATTATTTGGTAATGAAACAGTACTCAGTAAAAAGTCTTTGATCATAAAAATATCAATCAATCAAAGACAGATTTTGAACTGGAATACAAAATCATCATTAATTTTATTTTTTCGATAATATAACATTTACAAGTACATATACATTTTGTTTGTGTACCATTTGATAGTGAACGTTTACTATATTTGGCATGACATCAATAAACTAATGGGGACATCGGTTACTTTTTATTCCTAATTTAAATTTATATCCAAAACTTCAACCACTTCTGCTGCAAAAACGTGTGCAAAGTAATTTTTATCAGAGAAACTTTTAAAATTAGTATGCTCCTACTTTTCTGTCAAAATGTCATCTTGCACTTCAGTGCACCTTACACAAGTGCATGTTAGACGTCGATCGACTGTTAATATCTTCATTATAATACGAGCGACCACGACATGTATGATATGAAGCTTCACAAAATATATAAAACAACATATTCAATCAAGGAACAAATCAATCTTCATTACATGAGCTTACTGTATCAAATTCATTCGACAGAAAAGCTAAACTATACTGTTTTGATTGGAAAGCATCATAAATTGAATTCCCAATTCCATGATACTAATGAACAAAATCTAATATTTATTTGTTGCATAAAGGAAAAATTAAAGACATAAATTCTTTAACAACGTTGGTGAACCTTGTTGGTGTTTTGGATGACTTCTACTATCTCGTTTAGCTCCTTTTGACAGATTTTTTTTTTAAATAGTTAGATGATGATATTAGGAGCATAATAATTAACATTATTAATAATAACTTGTAAATAGCAGTACAAATAGTAGGAACAACTGACTTCTGGTCAATGTTAAACTCATAATGCAATTTGCATCTGCACTTACTGTTTCTATTGCAATGTTTGTACAAAGAAGTTACCAAAAAATAATAACAACTGATAAAAATCGAATTTATAGCAAAATAATTGTTCAAGAAAAACACTGCAATCGTTTTGATGTTGACTAAAATTTTGTAAAAAATACTAAATCTATTAAAGAAACGTTTGAAGTATGTTTATGAATAAATTGATACGCACGTACCTACGCAGAATTTATATAAACATTTAATTACTATTAAATCAACATTGTTAATCGATCGTAATCTGCAAATTTCCGCGATTTTAATGGCTTTCCTTTCATAGAAGCGTGTGATCTGTCGGCTTAACTAACAGACAAGCATTATCGCTTACAGATAACGTTATTTTTAGTCCGAACGTATGTGAATATAGCACGTTTTATAGTTCTGATATAAAATGAAAATAAAATAAACACTGACTAAAAAATACCAAGCCACGCATTTTGAAATATTATGAGAGAGGTTGATGTGCGCATCCAATGCTCTTGTGTATGCAACTAACAGAAACCGTAAACTAACAATTTTCTCACAATAGTCGAGAAACCCATCACCAGTAGCAATTAGTTTTCACTGATATTCGTACCTTCAACACGTGTGATATAAGGCTTAAAGCACTATATAAATTTAGAATGAATAAGCATATGTATTCATAAGAAATTTTGGATGAATAGGTTTTTCATAAACTAAAAATGCTAGAAATAGACGGCAATACTTTACCCTTTAAAAAAGCTGACCAATATTATATGTTTATTTAGGTATTTGAAGATAATTAGGTTATCGAAGCGTGTCTCTTGGCATTCAAAGTTTTCATAGAAAAGGAAATTAATTAATCAATTTGATAAGAACAATATCTGTAATTGTGATGATTTATCACTATTATTAATGCAGCAATGCTGAATGAGACAACTTCTGCTTGACTACAAGCCGCTTGAAGCGCGATGAACCGGGACCTCTAATTCATGTCCAGTTGTTCTAACCACTTACCTACGAACGAGCCCTACTCAAATATAAATTATATTTTCGTAAACCATTGTAAATAAATAGAAAATAATAAAGTTACTATATGATGGAAGGTGACTATAAAATACGAAGAATTACATAATTAAAAAATAATTTAAACGGCACCAGCAATTTCAACGTGAGATGTTCAGAAAGTCCACGCCAGACTAACTACTATTAACATACGAATTTCCAATCCAGCTCGATTTGTCGTATTTATTAAGTTATTTTATACTTTATTTTCAAAGCTTTTTTATTACGCAAAACTTAAAGGTTATAAATAATTAACGCTTTGAGTGCAAACTATAATTTCCATACACAGATGGAAAATGATCAATTGAGGAGTCGTAAAATAGACCAATGTTATAGCAAAACTATGTTATGTAGCGTTTCTCATATGAAATGATACTAAAATCTATAAAAATGCCAAGTATTTGCTTTGCGGTCAGGCGTTTTAAACATAAAATGTAGCTTATATTGTGCCACATCACAAAGATGAATTTATGATAAAATTGTGCGTTTGACGTTTGTGCGTAGGTTAAGTTTTCTATCTAAAACGCCTGACAGCACAGCAACCGCATAGCATTTTGAAAGTTTTTAGTACCATTTTACTATGTAACATAGCCTTGCCATAACATTGGTCTATTTTACGGCAAAATCGTCCCCTGAGTGTATAGTTATATTATAATGAACAGTACCTCAAATCATGCTTGAATATAACTATAGCCAATTACTTTTACTTTTTTCTGAATTATGCCAAAACTATTAAATATACATATTCGATCTATATATATATATAATTAACACAAAAATAGTGATTGACCGCTGGGTTGATCTATTGAGAAAAAAATATCTAGTATAATTTGCACTAATAACAGCTAACAGAACTCGTGGTTCTGATCGCTGTTCAATTAGAAAAAAAACAGAATTTGAAATAAATAGATACTCCCATGCAAAATATAGTTCTCAAGTTACTGTTAATATCATATATTTATTGAAATTTCACTTGCCTTTTTGTGCAAGTTGTGCAAGCAACCACAGCAATTCATATAAAAGTTGTTCGTTTGCAGCTTGTTGAACAGCACTTGCTCCTCCAGCTGTAGTTCGCACGCAGAGTGCAGAAACCATGCGTATAATAGTTACAGTACCACCAATGCTCACGATGTAAACAGCTACTGCCTTCCGAGCCTCTGAAGTAATTTTTTTCTTTATATTTATTTTTGTCAATCAAAATTAAAACAGTCTTATTTGATAAATTAGTGGTGTCAAAACAAAATAGGAAAACGACACATCAGACATACTCGGTACGGGGTATGCCCGCACGTACTGGTGCGGCGGTTTACATATTTTTTTTCAAGTCATCTTGATGGACAAGGGCTCTCCCGTAGGTAAGCGGTTAAGAGCGGCGGGACTTGTTTCAGAGGTCCCGGGTTCGATACCCACCTCGAGCGGCCTGTTGTCAGACAACAGTGACAACGATTTTCTTATCGCTGTTCAATTAAAAAAAAATCTTGATGGACTGGGCTGCGCTCGGCTGGTTGGATTTGTGTATGATCCACAATTTGTGTGGAAATTTTCTATATGCATTATGATGAACTTGTTAGAAATCGTAAAACTTAGTTTTGGCATCGTTGAGTAATTTTATTATTCAATTTGCAAGCCTAACCCCTAAGCATGATGTCATAAGTTCAATTATAGAGTAAATTAATTGAACTAACTATATAATCAAGTAACAGAATCAATGTTCTCATTAATTTAATCAGCATAAATTTTTCGTCAAATAACGCATACAAAGAAAGAAAAGCTAGTTTAGCGCGTGACATTTTGCCTAAGACATCCTCGTATTGTGAACAAATATGGTAGATATAAAATGGATTTATTTACATGTGTTTATAAAATTAGACAAAGTCAAAGATTTGAAGATTTTAATATAATAAATAGAAAAAAATGGAATAAAAATAATTTGAAATATCCATACTTTTTTATGTATCATATTAAATATTTATGTACTACTAGGAAATCAAATCATTGCCCATGAATCAAGTAAAAGATTATTAATTTTTGGTTAATCTGTTAACAATATTTGATATGAATTTTATGCTGACATGAAATTTATAAAACTTAATAAGAAGTATTTATACATATTGTCAAAAGCTAAACTTTTAACCACCAACTGGCAATTGTTAGCCCACAATTAAGTGAATTATTTATTGTATAAATATTATCAAATTCTCTATAAAATTTTCATAATTAGATGTGCACATGACATGCACTCACATGCACTATATTCCATCCAGTTTAGTAATATTTCCTTATTATTTTAAAAACGACTGATCACGCCTCTACTAAATGATTAAATTTAAATTGATAAATTTCTTGCGATTGTATGTATTTAACTGCATACAGGAACTTAAATTGAACAGATTCGAATCAATGAATCGGAACAGTTCTGAAAAGGAATTCATACTTTCAAATATTTCACATATGAGACCAGCTTTTCTTATTGTTAGTTTAAACAACATTTTTTCTTATTACGTCTGGAAGCAATATATTGCTCTTCTGCCCTATTCATTCATAATAAATAAATTTCAAAAATATGTTCATAATAATTAAAGACAACAATTAAAACTTTTTTCGAAGAGAGTTTTGAAATTCAATACTAACATTTTTAGAAATGATGTCATTTTAAATTAAACTGTTAATAAATCTATTTTAAAACGAGGAATGAACGAGTGATGCATTCAGCGATACTTAAACTGCATTTCTATACAAATGAAACCGTACTAATCTTCCCTGTGAATAAAACTAAATTTGTTTATGAATATTTGATTTAAAAACATCAGTCATATATAATGTAATTACTTCACGTTTAGCTTAACTTCTTAACAATAATCCAAATAATGTAATATGCTATTGCGTTGAATAAAATAGTTCGATATATTTGCTAACAAGATTTCAAATAATATGTTTTATGAATAGATTTTTTTGATTAATACAATATCATTACTATTTAAGAAAAAATAAATTTTTCTACATAGGGTAGGGTGAGGCACAAAGATCCAATTTGACTTTGAATAATTATTTTGTAAAGACCAAACCAATTATATTACAACAAATAACACATATCAATCAAACAATTATCTAACTATGTTCAGAAAAACTCCCAGCTAATTTATCATACTAAAAATGTATTTTATGCTGTTTTTCAAAAAATTTTAAACTGTCTCTTTTGCCCCATAGGCGGAGTAAATTGGGACGGTCAGGGGCAAACAGTTCCACTGTCTTATTTTAATTTTAAGAGTATTTTACAAAATAATATTTACATTATTCAACCAATGCAAAATATAAATTTCATGGCTCCATTTACTACAGAGATAACATTGTATATAACCTCGATCTGGTATTTTTTCAAAAATATTCATCAGCAGATATGGAATAACTATTTATTCAAAGTATCTCTTGTAAAATTGCTTTTTTAACTTAATTCCCTTTTTTATCTTTTACACCTTTGCCAAGATAAAGGTTCAGTTGGTTCTTTTTACCCCACCCAAGTGTAAGTTTCTATAGAGATTATATAAAAAAAACTGTTGAATAGAACTCTCACATTACATTTTATAAAACAAATAAATGACGTATACTGAAAAATTATATTAAGGTCTCGAAAACTAAGCAAATCCTAACTTTACTGTTTTTTTTCGATATCGGTGGTGGAACTTTGTACTCGCGGACCTAAGCCTCACTCTACCATATATACAAAGTAGCATATATATTTACTTTTCCATCTTATTATGGAGTAACAACTTGAGTACATCATGAAACAAAATAGAATTTAGAGTTTTACTGATTAAAAAAGTTTGAAATCAACTGTGACATCATTTGAAAGTACTTGGCATACATCAGGTTTCATTCAACTGATCTAGATTTACTGTAATTTAAGTGCAGTTAAAAATATATTTTATTATAATACAAAATCACTGATGTAGATCATCGTATCTACTGTACATGGATAAGTTTGAATATTTAATGTAACTTTTCTAAAAATGACTTTGAAAAATTCTTAAATTTTAGTTTTTAAATTAAATGTTATTAATAAAAGTTATCACATTCTAAATTAAATTAAAAATGTGATTTTTTTTGTTTATATTAATTATATTTACTAATTTTCATAATAAAATCGATTAACAAAAATACAGTACCTTTTCCTCGATTTTTATTTTTTCCCTTTCCCCGCACGGAAACGCATTCGTGAAGAATTCCGGCAATACTGCAGGCCGTGGCGGTATCACGAACGAACTGCAATAGAACGCAAACTTTTAAAAGAAAGAAATTATCATAGGTCGGGCAATTATAGTATGAATCGGTGCCAAGGAAATAAGCAGGTGAACTACTATTGGAACAATTCTGTGAGTACATAAAATAGGCAATTGTAGAAAATCCTAAAATCATTCCGACTTTAATAATGTCTTCTTTATTTTTTTTATTCACTACTATATTTACAACTGTCCAGTTAAGAACATTTAGTTTACATTTGTCAGTCGTAATAGGGACTAATTTATAGCCGTAATTCTTTAATTTAAACCATTTTTATATAGATCTATCTATGTTGCATAATGATTAACAAAAAAAAATAATACACAGACTTGCTGAAATTAGTACATTAGCTGTATATTGCATGAGAACAATAACGTTAAAAAATTAAAAAAAAGATTTTTTTGAAAAAAAAAAAATAATTTTTTTTCCAAAAGCAATTCTTTCATCAACACAAGCAGAAAGGTTTTTGAATGATTGAAATCAGATGCTTATTTCTCTCAAAAACTGTCATTTTTGTACATTTAGCTCTGTTAGAAATGGCTGGACCTGCCTTTGCCAAAAACTAATCACCACTTCTCCCAATCATTACAAATTGAATGTTTTTAGATCATTCAAATCGGATGCTCCGTTCTCTCAAAAACTCGATTTCTATTTTCTGCACTGTTTGCTCTTTATCTCCCTATCAACAAGAATTGAATATATTTTGAACCAATTAAATTGGTTGATCCGTGCGCCCGAAAACGTGAACGAAAAAATGCGGACACACAAAACACACACACACATTCATGTTTTCAGCCAAAATGTTCAGAAACCTTCAAAACGTGCAGAAATGCAAACATTTTCATTTTCAATTTTCGGCCCATTACTATAATTACCCTACGGGAAGTTAATAAAGAATAATGCAACTTTTAATATAAATGTGAAAAAAGTATTCAAACAATAGTATTAATATGGCAAATAAAATTGTCAAGGGTCAAGCAATCGGTCAAGAATATATTTGGAAGCTCTTTCACCTTTAGAAAGACAAAAACGATCTGTTCAATATTATGACCTGTATTTGCCTGTACTAATAATGTAACAAAAACAAAATGAAAAAACAACAGTAATATTGTATGTATATATTGTTGTAATAACAGTATATTGTTGTGTATATGTATTTTGAAATCAAATCATATATCAAAAGATAACCCGATAGTTGTAAGTGTATTGATGTGTATGTATATATATTTTATTTACAGCAATGCCAAAAAAGGCCACTTGAAAACATATTTTGATTTTTATTTTTAAGTGATAGTGGATATCACTTCTGCTCGATATCAGGTTGTGCGCAAAGCCGACTCAAAACAGTGGATACAAAGTCGTAAAGATAAAAACAGAGAAATGGCTTTTCTTAATAAACTAATAATTATTACAGTCCTCCGAACAGCACAATAATTTCTAGAAAGTATTTTTGCACAATTTGATAACATTTTGCAAATATTTGATTAAATCACGCAATTCTCCAATGCAGTACATTTCACAGAATAATACCATCTGTAACTATGCCAAAATACAAAATATTTGATCTTATTCCAAAATCCAAAGATTTTTGAAGGACGTAACAATTTTATTGACTCCAATAATTGTCTGCAGTAGGAATGTTAGCAAGTTTATAATTTACTTAGCAATACAAAATCATAATGTCTTCGAATAACGCCCTTAAGGTTTAGTAATTAATAACAATTGCGGGCATAATACGTATACTAATTATATACATGTAATTATATATTATTATTATTATTCTTATTATTGTTATTTTTAAGTTTAATATTGGTGTTTTTCCCGAAAACAGACCCAAAGTAAAAAAAGCTCTACAAGTATACTTCCTACTCTCTACTTGTCAAACTTCCACTTCATAGTAACTTGTATCTGTATCTTGTGCGTGGGCTTTCAATTCTTGGTATTTTCATTTATATGCATAAGTCGTCAATCATCTACATTCTTTTTTGTTCGAATCGAGTTTAGACCATCTATTTTACTTTCGATGGCGTCGTGTAGCAAGCGCTTTATGCAAAATGAATCTGATAGTACTTCCTTATTTGCAACTTGGTTAGTCCATTTTATTTACTCCTTTTTCCCCAGTAGGAGAGACTGGGTACGTTTGTGCCAGGGTACAGTAGTGACAGTCCTCATAATAGCTAAACCATACTGATTTTGAGAAAGGGTTTCAAGGGAATAAAGATGTAGTATGTTTGTTTAAATAAGTTTCCATCAATACTTTTAGTCGGCCCCTACGTTAACATGATCTGTAGACCACATTGCTTTTGAACAGTCAAAAGTAAGTTTTTCGTTCAATTTCTTTTAATAATAACTGTATACAGATAAATTACTTTGTTTGTTATTTTGCTGTAAGTTGAACATTAATAGTTAATTACCATCAAGATAATTGCTGGTTTTTGCATAGATAATTTAGCTCGATCATAGAGATGATTTCTAATTGCTAGTTTTTGCATAGATAATTTAGCTCGATCATAACGATGATTTCTTTCCAAAAGTGTGCTTTTGGGTACGGTTGTAACAAATTTTGTGGGTACGGTTGTGACATGTACTAAACTAAGAAAACAAATCTAAAGAGAAAAGAAAGAAAAATTTACAAAAATTTTTTGTTAACTTTGTATAAGAAAATATGATTTATTATATTTTGTTATATTATATTTACAAGCTTTATTTGAACAATTATGTTGTGTTGTGTACATATTTCTGATAATAAAGTCGTTTCTGACCATGAAAGTTATTTTGGTGTTTATACCTAGTGTTTTTTAAACTATTTTTATGCCTGTCACACCATCCATCCCTGGGAGTGTGGATGGTTGAGATCTGCTCTCTTATCTTGTATGATTGGATTTTATTACTATTTCATCGTATTTAAAGACAGTATTTCTGAACTTTTATGTAGACAAAAGTTCAAATTACAATTTAATTTTCTTTTCTTCCAGCTACTATAATATCAAATATGATTACGGCGGCCTTGTTCAGAATTTATATTTTAGATTCGCACTGAGGAAAGTGGAAACTCACTGTCCCTGGTACTCGGTGAGTATCTAATTTCCATTTTTTTTCTAAAATTTTCTTATTGGCATTTCTTCTAATTCGACGATTTGTTGATATATGGTAATTCAGTTTCGGTTTATAATATTAAACTTTTTTAATAATAGACGACAATAAACTAGTTTTTTATTGATGTTGTGCCCGAATATTAGACTCTGTTATATATATATATATACATATATATATATATATATATATATATATATATATATATACACATGAATGAATTATTACTTTTAATGTCATATTTTCAACATAATTCATAAAAATCTGTCAAAACTAATATGATGGTCAATATGTTTAAAAAATTGTAACAGATTTGTAATGTTTACTAATAAATATCAATTAGATGAGAAACTAGGAGTCGATGCCAACAAAACGTATGGCAACGACAGCCCATTCATCAAACTACCCGTGCATGTCTATCTTAAGAAATCGAGATTCGATAAAGAAACTTGGCAATAAATTATGACGATCAAAATCTAGAAGCAATTACATCAAGTAAATAAGCACGGCAAGGAATAACTAAATCGCAATACGAGCAAGAAATAATGCATCAGGGTAAATGAGCACAAATTATGCAATTCTAAGTAATTTGTAAGATTAATGCAGATAACATAGAAAATTGTAAATATAAGTAATATCATTAAACAACTTTTAAAACATTTACATGAACATGATATCACTTTTTGCGTGCTTAATTAATTGAACAAGTTTTGCTCTAACTAGCGATATGATGGTAATAATAATTAGCAAATATTGTTGATTGATTCATATCAGATATATCGATTAACATTTCTGCTAAAATTAAATAAGTATATATCTGAACGTTCCGAATATTTTCAAGAAAATAACTATGATAACTGGTAAGTTATATTTTTAAAAATTAATATTCATATTTCTATCATTTTTACAAAATAGTAATTACTAAATTCGGTACTAAATTATTTCGTCAATTTACGAAGATTTATATATTTTATGTTCAAATAGGTACGTAAACCGTAAAACCATTAGTTGACTAATAAATGAAAACAAATATAAATTTTGACTTTATATTCTGAATTCTCCCCCTTATCCTATATAAAAACTATAGATAAAATACAGATACAAAGTATCGAGCAATATATGTTTTTACATATAAATTGTATGACACTGTAACTAAAAACAAATTATTTAATCTATAAACAAATATTAGAAAACAAAGTTAATCAAATTCGCAAACTTCATAACATCATTTTATTGATAAAATTAATATTCAATAAATAGAACTAAACTGAAAAAAATAAATAAAAATATGAAACGTTTCAATTTGATCGAAATATACACTACAATTGTGCGTTGATACAAAATTAGCAAAACTACTAAGAACAACTTTCGGGCACAAAATATAAGCAATATGGTAGAAAAAATTATTTTTGATCATTGTTCGATATATGAGTTTCGGTCACGTTTTCTGAAACAAATACTATAATACTTGTTTACAGAAAAGCACTATAAACTTTAATATTGTACGGCCAGCAATGTTAAATATTCTGCAGTGAAATATACTAAACTAGTGGTGCATGGCATCGTGCCTTAAGGGGGTATTCTACTGTAGAAGCATGAATTTTGCCCGGTTTTTGAAGCGCTGTATAAAGGAAACAAATGATATTTTTACTATCGATTTTTTCATCATTTGTTTATTGATATTTTATTATTACATAAAAAAAATATTAAAGAAAAAAAATTAGAATTCACAAAGTTATGAGCAGTCAAAGTGGAAGCTCAAAAAAAAAGAGGGTGTCCTGGCGTGCATGATTCCAACCCTCCTGGTGATCCGAAACATAAAAAATAGATGGATTCTTAATTATTATAGATGTCGCTATCGTATGAACCTTGGATAAGTCAAAAAAAATATTTTTGTTTGAATGGCGGCAGTTTGAAAAAAAAATATTTTTTTTCATGTTTTTTTTAACAATTCCGAATTTTTTAAAAATACTAAATGAAAAGTTATAGTTTTGGGAGAGGTCCATGCGATAAAGCAATGTATAGAGAAGATCCTCTCCAAATTTGAAGTAAATCGGTTCATTAGAACTCGAGATATCCTTACCGCCAGCTCGAAAAAAGTAGTTCCGAGAAAAACGCGTTCAAAGTTTTGAGACTCGGTCTGACCCGAACCGAGGCCACGTCACTAAAACGGATATAACTCAGGAAACAATCGTAATTTTGAAAAATCCTTTTAATGACATATTTTTGAATAACTAAACTTTGAAAATATGAAAAAAAAATTTTTTCGATTTTTTCAAAATTCTACAGTAGAATACCCCCTTAAGGCAGAATGCTGGAACTTCCCATACCGTTATTTAAAATTTCTCGAAGCTTAGAAAGAAAAAAAAGTTTTTTGAGGATTTTTGGAAATTTTAAAAACATTTGAAAAATTTGAGTATTTATTGAAAAAAACAGAAAAAAAGTTGTTTAAATTGAAAGGAATTTTGATACCCATTGAAGTCACTTGATCTATACGTAAACAAAAACTTGCATCCACACTAACGATCAAGTTTTCCAAAATGTTCAGAAACCTTCAAAAAGTAAAGATATGCAACAATTTTCATTTGCGATTTTAGGACGATTGCTATAACCCTACGGACTAAAAAACTGAAATACTAAATAAAATATCCTAAGTGTTTCTTGGTGATCCTGCAGATAACCACCTACAGAAAACCATCCTACAAATAATAATAATTTTTATTATATTATCCTATTAATCCATGAATACGATACACCAGTGATTGACAAATTTAAATTACTGCAATAATTATTATCAGCCAACATATTTTGTAGATATAGAATGTACATAAATCCTTTCTAAAATTAGATACACTAAACTATGCATTAGAAATTAGCGCATAGGCCAAGTGCATGTTTAATTGCTATGATATCAATGCGTAAATTGCCACATTGACATTGACCGAATATTTATTTCCTGGTTTAATTATGAGCTTACTTGAGTCAATCTAATTTAAGTTGTTTTCGATTTCAAATCACTGTTATCTGCTTTGAATTAAATTATAAATTTATCATCAATAATAAATAAATGTATTTACTATATTAAGTTATTAATAAAAATAATATTCAATATATTTGTACCTCCAATAAACTCATCAACATGCTTATATTTTGAAACTGCTTTCCACGTATTGAATCCAATGTAGTTTCTCTTATTCTTTTATCTGAAAATTGATGAGAAAATTACATGAATATTGGTTTTTGATGGTACTAAATTATTTTAAAAATACTAAGACTGTTATATATTCAAAATAATGGTAATACTAAGATAATACGACTAAGTTTGAATTTCGTATATCTTATTTCGTTTCAAGTTTATCAATCTTTGATAATGCGTAACTATTTTTGTGATTTGCTAAATTGTTTAAATGCTTATCTTGACTAATGTAAAAAAAATCACATCTGGGGTTAGTTGTAACAAAATTTGAAGCTAGTTATAGAATGCAAGAATGCAATTCTGTCGTTACTACTTGCCCCGTTAGATGTTACAACTAGCCCCAAAACATAAGATAAGTTATAGCACCAAATTTTTTTTGAGAATGATTAATTGTAAAATAATGAACTATAGTTATAAAATTATTTTTACTTGATTCGTTTGGGAAATAGTTACAGCATCTTTCCATCTCATTTCGTAGAAATATAATCAGTAAATTTCATGATATATTAACATTAAAATAACTGTTACAACAACCTCCCAGCCCACTACTAGACAGTAAATTTACCGTATTGCATCTTTACAATATCGTATTTTAGTGAAAATTGTACATAACCCTTGGTATGCATAACAGTGCAGATTTTTTTGTATCACTTTGTTATATAAACCTTAAAGTTAATAATAATCTCATATTTCGAAACATTGTTTGATTTAGTCATTATTAAATTGAGATGTTGCTATTTATAGAGTCTACTATTAGCTTGTAAGCCTAACAATTACGGAGAATATAAAAGTATTTCATATGAAATATGCAAGTTAGTTGCGTTTTGCATGGCTTTGTATGATCAATTTCATTAAAAATAAATGCTTATAATAAGTTACGCTTGCAATAAACACAATATTAACCATAATTTACATTTACGATACGAGATTCTGGGAATGAAGCCTGTCGTAAAAGTTTAATGTTTTTTATGTATAGTAAAGTTATTTTTTGCTGCGGTTTCGTGACTTGTCATTATCTTTCAAAGAGCTTAAAGACTTTGTCTCCGCAATGCGTTCAATAGTGATAATGGATTATTAATACAATATTAGTAATGGAAATACACTTTCAACTCAATGACTTTGTATGATGTGACATGATTTTGTTATGAACATCGGCATTTGAAATATATTTCATTATTAATTTTCCCATTTGCCGCACTGCTGGATACCAGAATGCACAGAAATCAACTAAATTCAAAATGGATATATATACACTTGTACATATATATATATATATATATATATATATATATATATATACATAGGGTAAGACGGGACACAAAGATTCAATTTGACTTTTAGACATAAGAAACAAATAACACATATCCAACGAACCACTATCGAACTATGTTCAGTAAAGTTCTCAGCTAGTTCATCTTTGTAGAAATATGATTTTGCAATTTTCCTAAAATTTGTCATCTGTCCCTTTATACTGAATAGCCGGGGCAAAATGCCCACTATTTTATTTTTAATTTTGAAGAGATTTTATGAATAAATGGCTATATTATTTATGTAATGCAACGCAATCTATTACAACAACAACTGTGAACAACAAATTTAAAAAGTTATAAAGTTTTATTATAATAATAAATACCAATTCTTGCTGTTATGATAAATTTTGCTTGAAGAGCTATATCTCTTATTTATCATAATCAGACTTATCATTTAATTAAGCATAATTACTACAAACAATACAACTTCTGTTTGAAAAACATATTTCAGGTGCCCTTTTTTGACAAGATCATACAAACCTCATCTAGAATTTCGTCAGAAATATTCATCATCAGAGTTGGAATAACTATTAATTTAATTTAATTTTTGTAAACTTGCTTTTTAAACTTGTTCTACTAATTTGTCATTATTCAGACCTTTGGTTCCGTTGGTCCTTTTATCCCCAAGTTATGTAAAAAACTGTTGAATTTAGCTTAAAAATAGCAATATGCCTCATGAAACAGTTAAATAACATATAATTAGAAATTGTATCAGATATCATAAACTAAACAACATTGTTCAAAACCAAAAAAAACTAACAACGAATGTCGACCGATTCATGGCAATGACATCTTTCTTTCTCTCTATTTTAGAACAGAATTGTTAAAAAATACTTTGCTTTACTTATTTTTGAGAAATGAGTGTTAAAAACCAAAAAAAAACTAACAACAAAAGTCGCGCGATTTATGGCAATGGCTGGTTACATCTTTCTTTCTCTCTACTTTAAAATAGTAATGTTAAAAAATACTATGCTTCACTTATTTTTGAGAAACCGTGGTGGACCTTTTTACTTGTGGACCTTTAAGGTCCGCTATACTCTATTGTATAATTCTGATTTTGATGTTGGCATACGTATTGACAAAGTCTAATAATCGTCTAATTCAGAAAAATAAAATCATAAATAATAATAACTATCCAAAAAAAACTTAATCTATATACACAAATAAACATGTATTTAGAGTATATAACGGCAGAAAAACTTTGTATTATTCATTATTTACTTGCACTTGTTATTGTTAATTGCAACCTCATATGAGATTATTTTTAGGCAGAAAAACGTATTAACATATACATCATGCCATTTATACCTTTTATAAATATCATAAACGTAATAGACGTTTTGTTGAAATGCGATTAAATATCAAGAAAATTGCTTTGTTAGCAACCGCCAAAGACCAGGAAGAGTAACAGAATGAATTTCATTCATATCAAAATTTGACAGGAGAGCATCATTGTATGATTCTTTATTACAACGTGAAATAATAACTTATTGTTCAGGTGCGCAAAATAACATGAGAACAAGATAAATTAAATATCTCAGAAGAATTATATATATTCTAAACTAAACTCCTAATGTGACAAAAACTATTGCATGTTATTGTATTCATTTGTACATTGAACCAGCTATACTAAATAGCCTATATTGTTCAAAGTGACACTACACATGTTTCTATCACTTGACTTTCAAGTCTAATTTGGGCTTTCAATTACGATAATATTTAAAGAATAGAATTTAAAAAAATACATATAAATTGTCTGACAAACAAAATTATCTTACTTCGTTCTATTACTATGTTATCTTACTATTGAAAGCTAATCGGTATTACTCATTTAGCATTTTAAATGTCGTCAATATATATAAAGTATGACTTTAATCAATCGAATTCAACGTAAAATTTGCCAATGTAGAGTTTAAAATAAATATAAGAGATCAGAAAAAATATATAGAAGAAACTGCAATTGATCATGACAAGGAAAGATAGTTACAAAAGCATTAACAACTAAGTGGAAAACTAGCAAAATATAATAAATGACTACCAAGATTTCAAAGCTTTAAGCACCATTTTTGTGAGCATAATCAAAATTTCAGATTCATACGACCTTTTTTAAATACAAAATACTAGATTGTTCATGCGCTATGCCCATCAACTAATCTTGCCCGATTGGTTTATACCGACTTTTATTGTCAGAAATATAAATAACACAACACAATCATTTAAACAAAACTTATTAATATAATATAACAATATATAACAAAACATATTTTTTTGAACAAAGTTAACAAAAAATCTCTGTGAAACCTTTTTTTTTGCATTGAATTTTCCTTTCCGTTTCTCTTTTATATGATGTCTTATTTAAGTTAGATTTTGCTTTATCTGTTTAATTCACACCCAAAAGGCACAAGACCCACAACCACATGTCGCAACAATATCCAACGAGACTTTTGAAAACAAATCATCGTTATGATTGAGCTAAACTATCTATAGTAAACTGGTAATTAACTATTAAAGTTCAACTTACAGCAAAATTACGAACAAAGTGATCTATATGTATACAATTAACTATAACTAATACAATTAACGATCTATTGTATACAATTAACAGTTATTTTCCCAAGAAACTATTTTTGACTCTTTAAAAGCAATGCGCTCTACAGATCAAGTTATTGTAGGATGCATACTGAATGCAATAATGGGAACATGTTCAAGCAAACATACCACTTCTTTCTCCCTTTAGACCCTATGTCAAAATCAGTATAGTTCAGCTGTTATGGTACTACAGTACTCTTTTTGTGTTAGACTATCAAGACTAAAAAATATATTTTAAATCTATTACCCGATCTGATAGATGTTTCAAAAAATTATAAATAACACGTATTATTCAATTAATTATAAACATTAAATTTGATTTTTTCGCCACTATTTATTTATTTATTTGTTTATTCAAGTAATCAATACATAATGATTAACATTATAGCATGGTTCACTTTGAAACAATTACAGAAAATGAATTTTTTAATACAAAATAAGGATTTTAAAAATTGAAAAACAATCGACGTAATAATGGTTAACAAACAATCATGCGTTATTAATAGACGAGCCTAATTTTAGTATTGCATGAGTATAGCGTTTTCGCATCAAGATTTTCTGCAATGAGAAGAAAACATTGCTGTCTCCCCTATGTCCCAAAGTTCTCCGAGGAATTAAACAATTAAAATGATATGAAAGATTTACAATATTTTTTCAATCCCAAAAGAACAAATAAATTGTATGGCCAATTTATTAGAGCAGGCAAAGTCCCGTAACGCCAGACAGCACCTAATACCGGACACTCTATTTAACACGTATTATTTGAACGAGTATACATCTTTTTATATCAAAATACAATTGAAAGGGGCGCGGAGGGCACACAGGTGCAGGATCACCCGCCAAGACTCACCCGTGACGCACACGGCCACGGCGGGAGCAACTCTTTGCTGTTTTAGGCGCAAAATCACGGCATCACCTAAATATCAATGGAAGTAATTCTAGTGTATTTATGCATTTATATTTGAGTGACATTCAAAAATAAAAGTAGTGCTTGATTGATATCCGTAAAATGGTAGAATATTATTAGATCTTTTAACCAATTTTAGTAGGTGCCATCAAATGAACGAAAATGTCTGTCTCTTAGCACCGGACACTAAGTCGCCCCTTA